CCAGGAGGCTCCGAAGAGGGGTCTGGGGGTCGATTTTGGGAGGGTGTCTCAGGCGAAACCGCCATTCTCTGAGAATCGGGGTCAAAATTATTGAAATTACAATGTGTTTTTGAAGGTTTTAAGTTAAAATGTTGAAATCCCCATGTGCTTTTGGACCCTGACGTCACGATCTGCGTGAGGGGCGCCACCGATTTTCAGAATTTCGAGGATGTCCCGAGCGAAACGGCCAGAAAAATCGCGGACGACGTGCGCATTAATCGCCTCTGAGCTCTACTCCCTCGGAGAGGTGCGTATGATAATATATATATATATATATATATATATATATATATATATGTAAATATAGTTTTTCCTTGTGCTCGAGCCCTACGTGTTTTACGTGTTTTTTTTTGTTTTTGCACATTGCCTGTTTACTGCGGCTCGAATCCAAAGTGTTGCACGCATGTTCATGTAGCTTGCCCCATCTCCTGTGGGTCGAACCCTAGGTGTTTGACGAATGTTCATATACTTTACCCCAGACTCCCGCGGCTGGAATCCAAAGTGTTTGACGTCCGTTGCGGGGCCGCCCCGGGATCTTCTGGGCGCGGGCCGCCAGGGGCCGAGAAGGCGAGGGCGCTGGCATTTTTCTAGAGCCAAAAGGGAAAATGATTTTCGCCCAATGAATCTCACCTCGCGCGCTCCTCCCGGGAGCCTTTGGCGGCCAAGGGCCAGTTGGGGGCTTGTGAGTTGCATGTTGGCTGGGCCAAAGTTTGGCCCATCATGCCGCCGCGCCTGGGTTAAGGCATCGAAGACTTTCCCAGGCTGGGACAGCCTTCAGGCAGCCACTTGGAGGCAGATTTGAATCCCCCGAGGGAGATTTGAACCCGCCGAGACTCGGGGGGGCTTGGGGATTGGTTTGGGCGCCGCTTGTCAGATTGGGCCCTCTTGGGGAATCCTGGGGGGGGGGGGGGTGGGCTGATGGCGGCCTCCGGCCTCCGGAATCCTGTCAGGGCGGAGGCCTCGACGTAGCGTCGGGGGCGCGCCAGCTCGGGACTCGCGCCCTGCCCCGCGCGGGACTCGAGCTTCGAGTCCCGCGCGGGGCAGAGCGCAGCGCGCAAGGGGCCAAGGCAGCTTGGCGCGCCGACCTCGGCCCAGTCTGCGCCGGAAAATACGCGGCGCGCGAGGGCGAGGCCGCCGCGCGCGGCCTTGGCCCACTCCGGGCGGAGAAATGCCATGGCCGCCGCGCGCGCGGCGGCCCTGCCCCCATCAGCATGGATAAAAGCACAGCGCGTGAGGGCAAGGCCGCCGCGCGCGGCGCCCTCGGCCCACTCTGCGCGGAGACTCGCGCCGCGCGCGGAGGGCCAGGGCCGCCGCGCGCGCCGAGTGATTCTGCGAAGGCGAGCGCAAATCGCGCGAATGGCAAGGCCGCTGCTCGCGGCGGTCCCGGCTCATTCTGCGCTGGAAGACGCGCGACGCGCGAGGGCAAGGCCGCCGCGCGATGGGCGGCCTCGGCCGATTCTGCCAGGGGCTTGGCGCGCGCATTGCGCACGCCAGCGCCGCGGCGCCGCTGCTCGCCGATATCTTCGCGCATAGCAATGCGACTGGGCCGCCGATCACCGATGCCATCTCGCGCCGCCAGCGCGGGCGCGCGATTGTGCCCCCCGCCCCCCTCCACAACCCTTCCCCCGCCCCCTTCTGGGCGGGCCTGGTAAGGCATTGGCGTTGCCGTGGCGTCGTTGGCGAGGGCTCCGCTGAAGGGGGGGGGGGGGGGGGGGGGGGGGCGCTCCGCGCGGAGCCTGCCCCCCCGCCGCCACATTATTTCCTTCCCTCGGCGGAGCGCGCGGTGCAATAGAACGCCCCGAAGCAATTCCCGAGCGATTCCCCTGGGCGCCCGAGGGCCCCCAGTGGGGGCGCGAGGATTCCCGCGGGATCCTGGCGAGCCCCTGGGCCTCGAACGAGCTTGGGAAGCTACTGGGCTGTTCTTAGGGCTTCGCGGCCCTGCCGAGCAAGACCGCGGCGCCTTGAGAACAATATGGCCCTCAGACCTTCAGGCCCCGAGCCCCTGGGGCCGCGTTTGGGGCGCCGTCCCAGCCATGGCCCCTGGGCGCCCTGAGATCCGAAGACTCCAGGCCGCCAGTGGCGGTCGCGCAGACAAAGGCCCTAAAGCGATCAGGCTGTAAGAACGAGAAGCCGATCACCTCGTTCTCTCTGCGGGGCGCCGGGCTTTCGCCCCCCCCCCTCGCCAATCCCCCTTTCGCGCGCAACTTCTGGGCGGCCTGGTAAGGCACTGGCTCTGCTGTGGAGCAGTGGGCGAGGGCCCCGCAGGGGGGGGGGGCGCCGCTCCAGACGGACCCAGCCCTCCCACCACTCCATCCTCTCCTTCCCTCTGCGGAGCGCCCACTGTAATTGGGCGCCCGAGCCGGGTTCCGAACGACCCCCCCGGGCCCCCGATGAGACCCCAGTGGGTCCACGAGGGTTCCAGCAGGATTCTGGCGACCCGTTGGATTTCTACGGAGCTTGGAATGCTGCGGGGTCCTTCTAAATGCGCGAGGGCACCGCGGGGCCCCCGCGGATTCTTCGGGGGCCCCTCGGACCCTGGCGGTTTCCCAAAGAAACCAATGGCTTCTTTGAAACCATGCGGGTTCGTCGAACCGCGCCTGGCGCCTCGGGTCTCCCGACGGGCGTCATGAGGGTTCATAGCAGTTCCTGGCCACCCTGGGCAACGACTGGCCCCCTTAGGGGTCGCGCACGCGGCGAAGCTCATGGCCTCGCGCGACTTCGGCGTTTCCGTGGAGACGCACGGCGCGAAAGGCAAGGAACATTCTTTTTCTCTTCCACCGGGGCGCGACGCCCACTGGTCCGACTTCTCGGGCAGTTGGCTGGAGTGGGCATTGCACTTCAGAAGCAGTTCCTCGCAAAGTCCGCCACGTTTCAGCCTGGGGATTTCGCGGGGCTGGAGCCTGGCCGCGTTGCGCGGCGTCGGCTACGCGGCCTCGACGGTAATTTGGACGTCTGGGCAATCTACCCTTGCTCTGGAGAAGGCACCTCGCACGACCTCCGAGCTCGAGATCGATCGCGCGCCCTCTTTACGCAGCATGTGGCCTACCCCATCTCTACCCCCCCCCATCATTGCGGGTGATTGGAATTTCGCCACGTCAACAAACGATCGATTGCGCCGCGCAGGCAAGCGGTGAACCGGCGCGAAGGACGAGCAGGAGGCAGCTCAAGCAGCATAATTTGTCTCGTCCCCGCGGGCTCCATGAGCTATACCAAGAATTGCCACGTCGCGCATTGATCGCGTCTACACCAACTGCCGCCCGTCGGAGCAACTCGACTACAAGTTCGGGCGCAGCGTGCTCTCACGCGCCCCCGGCCTCTCATCCCACGCCCGATGGTCATTCTTCCGCATGCGACCAGGGGGCATTCGGTCTACCGCGCGCCCCGCCGACAATGCCGCAGCCGGCGACGACAGCGACAGCACTAGCCAACGCAAGCCGAACATCATAACCAACGGCACCATCAACAATCCTGTTTGGCCTCGACGGGTGGCTGCTGAACTGAGTTGCATATCCGCCACGCCCCAAGATCTCGACAACCCAATCCGCCGACTTTTTCTGGTCAAACGGGCCATGCACACTGCTTCGGAAAAACATCGCCAGGGAGGGGCTGCATACCACCGCCACCATTGATGGCGACAAGCTCGGTTGCGTCCTTAGCTTCGCCAGGGCCGCCCAGGATGTCCACCCACCGAAGATGTTCCGCAAATACTTGGAGTGCCCGTTCATCGGCACTTTCGTTGACCCTAGGCGCCCGAACACGCGCTTCGCAAAGGGCCCCCGCGCTCTCCAAGACCACGCAGTCGCACTCGCGAGGCAGGACATCACGGACGAGTTGCGCGGTCTGCCACAGCGCGCAGAAGACGGCGGCAACGACTGCAAAATCACGATGCGCAAACGCGACGCACTCAGCCAGCTGAAGCTACTCATGCCGGGCATATGTGCCAGCATTGGGGCAATCGAGACTGCGGCCTGAGATTGCCCCGCGGACCCGGCTTCCATTGCTCGGGGGCTGGGGGCGCACTGGGCCCGAATTTCCAAAAAGAGACAGATTAACCAACATTTGCTGCCACATTGGCTCTGGGATGTGCACTCGCGGACTCGACTGCCACTCCCGCCGGGCGCCCCAGACCGTCGGCGACCTGACGCGCCCGGGGGGGGGTCCTTCAATCGAGCGGGCCTCGCGCTAGAGCGAGGGGAAAGCGACCCCGCCTACCTGCCATAGACCAGCGCCGGCACGCTCGCGGGAAAAATGCGGAGACGGCCGCGCGGCGCAGCGGCAACTCGGCACCGGGCCCAGACGGCGTCCTATTCAAGGCTCGGTGCGCGCGGGGGCTACTGGGGATCTCTATCACGCATGGAGTTGCTCAGGACAAAACCGAGAGACCGCAGGGGCAGGGCGATCTTCGTGCCGCGAATTTCGACGAGCCCGATAACCGCGCCCACCACTACAACGAGAGCGTTCTCGTCTGCTTGGCCAAGAAGAGCACAGGTGTCACACCAGAAGGCATCAAAAGCTACAGTCCGGCAAGCACCCGCCCGCTGAACCTCGCCAACGCAGACAATCGTTAGGTTGCCAGTGCCGCCCGCAATCGCCGGGAATACCACTTGGCAAAATGGATCTTGCCCCGGCAACGGGGCTTCTTACACGGACGAAGTATTCAAAGTGATCTTCTTGACGTGGACACCGCCAACGCGAGCGCCTCGCTCACTCATGAAGACGGGGCGTGCTTGCTCATGGACTTTTGCATCGGTTTTCCCATCCATGGCTTGAGAATTAATGTTTTCCACGCTGTATGCGCATGGCCTCGCGGAAAGGCGCCATGCGCCTCTTCAGGGCAATCTATAGTCGGAATCGCATTGCTGTGTTCGTCACGGGTCGTCCGAAACCGACGGTTCCCCTTCGAATCTGGGGCGCGGCAGGGGTGCCCCCTCTCCCCGCTGCTGCGCGCCGCGGTTGCGGAGGTTCTCATGGGCCGCGTCGGAGCTGAATGCCCCGGCGCGTTAGTGAGAGCATATGCTGATGATGCCGCCTTGGTGTTCTTGGACTACTGGCTGGAGGCGCCGAGATTACAGTGCATATTTGAAGACTTCGGATCGATCTCTGGCCTATACCTTAATTTGCAAAGGTGCATCGCGATCCCTCTGGGTGCTGGAACGGCGGAGGACTTCCAGGCGAGACGGGCGCCGCGACTTCCAGGTTGGTCGAACGTGCCCATTGCCGATTGCGGAAAGCATTTGGGTTTCTGTGTCGGACCCGGCAAGGGGGAACATTACTGGGAGGCGCCTGGCAAGAAGTGCGACCAACGGTGGCGGGACTGGGGGGGCCAGGGCATTGGACTGCAGTACCGCGCGGTGGCGTACAATTTTGTCGCAGTGTCGCAGTATCTACGTTGGGATACGTTGGGCAGCTGGAAGAAGTCCCAGCTGGCATTTTGGACCCGGAGGAGTTGGGGTTGAAGATCACCCATAAAGGACCTCATGCATGGGCCTCGCCAGACGACATGTGGCGGCCCCGCGAGTCATTTGGGCAATCCGCCTCCTGTCGTTGAATTAGTCTGGCGCCCCAGGTTTCGCAACTACGGGCGCGCGCGTGGGGCCCAGCTTGCAGGGCGCGGCGCTACGAACAGGGCGTGCGCGATTTCCGAGAAGCGCCGCCACGCCCCCAGCACCTTTTCAACCGGATTCGTTGGGGCGGCTGGTATTCCAGAGCCTTTGCACTTACACTTGAGAGTAATTGGCAGTCATGCGCAGACAAATTATGATCGGCATGGGACCTTTGCAAAGCACTGGCTAGCCCACGCGGGCCCGACGACGGGGGAGGCGACGGCGAGGCCACTATTTCTCCAACCAGCGCCTAAATTGGCCCCGCGGCCCGACTGGGCGACTCCCGCGGCCAAACAAAACGCAAGACCCATCCCAAGACAAACTTCCAACGACGAGCTTACGATTTGCTGCTCATGCACGACGCGCCCCGCCCTGCGTTTCGCATCCGGGCCGCATTTCGACGGTGGGATCTGTCCGATGATGCGAAACATCCACCGCCAGCAGGGGCCAGCGCACGATGCAACACGCCCTCCTGGCAGGCGCGCTGGGCGGCGGCCAACCTCCAACTGCTCCCTAAGTTGGTTCCCCAGCGGGTGTGCGCTGCAGCTTTCGGGGCCATGTGGAATCGATGGTGCACGCGCCGCCGGTTTCAGGCGCGCCACTCGCAGTGCAACCGGTGCGTCTTTGGCTGCGGGGACGCAGCGGAGGACTCGATTGATCATTGCTGCCGGTGCACGAATCAAGCGTTGTCACGCAAGCTCAAGCTTTCCCCGCGCCTATTCGCCAACCTCCACGCGTTCCTGTCGCGCAGCACATACATCCAGACCCAGGACGAGCTTGCCACAATTGCAATGCTTATTTACGGGATCTACAATGCCGCCAATCGCTTCCGACGCACGCCCCAGACGAGTTGCACCGACATTGGCGATGCCATCGCGCAATGGATGCGGGAAGGCGCAAAGAACCATCGTAACGGAACTCGGGCTTGCGACAGCAGGTGGAGTCGATCGCGACAGGACAAACCAATTCCGCCCATACCTTTGCACCTCTGAAGATTTGCTTGTCTCTGGGGACGGGCAACAGTGGCGACGGCGGCACCTGCTGCAGTGACGTTTCCCTCCGGCACCACTCCACCAACCACGTGACCTGTCCCAGGATCCTCGGCCGCCTCCACCTCTATGCCTGCGCTTTCCACCAGCTTGGCTCTCCGACCTCCAACCTCGTGCACCTGACTCCCCCACCTTGCAGTCTACAGCCCCGCCTTTTTTATATTTTCCGACTTCCAGTGCCCGGCACCCCCCCCCCCACCAGCGCCCGCGAGGGAGGAGGGGGAGGACGAGGACGTGGCGGCGGCCATGGTGAGCGCTGTCATCGTTATTGTGATTCTCATCGGGGTGCTTTTCAGGTGCCGGATGCCGCCGCGCACGTTCACCTTGTTCGGCGAGGACGCCGCGGCTCCCCTGGGCTCTCAGTACATTTGCATCGGCGTCCTTGCCGGCTCCCTCACCGCCCAGCTCACCGACTCCCGCGCCGACCAGATTGCGGCCTGCCTCACCGCCCCGCCTGCCCGCTCCCTCATCCACCAGCTCACCGACTCCTCAGAGGCCAGCAACATATGTACACGTACGCGGTTAGCTTCCCCTGGAGGGCATTTGAACGAGGACGTTCGTGCACTCAAGATCGCGGAGGGCGTACATGTACATATGTCGTTGCTCGCTCAACTCCCGACCAGCCTGCCAGCTCCCTCCTCGACCAGCTCACCGACTCCGGTGCCGACCAGCTCGCCGACTCCGATGCCGACCAGCTCACCGACTCCCGCGCCGACCAATTCACGGACTCCTGCATCGTCCAGCCGACTCCCGCGCCGACCAGATCGCGGCCTGCCGCACCGAGCAGCGCGCAGGCTGTCTCATCGACCATCGCACCGACTCCCGCACCCACCAGATCGCGGCCTGCCAGGCCGACCAGATTGCCCGCTGCCTCACCGACCAGCTCACCGACTCCCGCACCGACCAGATCGGGGCCTGCCGCACCGACCCGACCAGCCTGCCGGCTCCCTCCTCGACCAGCCCACCGACTCCGGTGCCGACCAGCTCGCCGACTCCGATGCCGACCAGGCCACCGACTCCCGCGCCGACCAGCTCACCGACTCTTGCACTGTTCAGCCGACTCCCGCGCCGACCAGATCGCGGCCTGCCGCGCCGAGCAGCGCGCAGGCTGTCCCATCGACCATAGCACCGACTCCCGCACCCACCAGATCGCGGCCTGCCGCACCGACCAGATTGCCGGCTGCCTCATCGACCAGCTCACCGTCTCCCGCACCGACCAGATCGGGGCCTGCCGCGCCGACCAGCCTGCCAGCTCCCTCCTCGACCAGCTCACCGAGTTCCGTACCGACCGGATTGCGGCTTGCGGCACCGACCAGGCTGTCAGCCCCCGCGCCGACCAGCCCACCGACTCCAGTGCCGACCGGCTCGCGGACCCCGGTTGCGACCAGCTCACCGACTCCAGCATGGACCAGCCGACTCCCGCGCCGACCAGATCGCGGCCTGCCGCATCGAGCCGCTTGCCAGCCTCGCCTCGACCACAACCCTTCGTCTCAATCATCGAAGAAAGCACCGTCATAATCAACGTGCCAAAACCCGAATGCCGCCACACTCGCCGAGATCAAGACCAAGACCATGATGACAACCACTTGTGAAACAACAAACAACGATTTGTTCTAGCAAGAGTGGGTCGCGTGGTCAGGACCAAGACCATGATGATAGTCACCGGTGGAAAACAACGGCGTTTTGTAGCAAGAGTGGTTCGTATGACGAATTCGTTAATCCTGCGAGGCCGCCCCGGTTAATGCATCTTCTGGTGTGCGCCGCCGTCCGACGACCACCACTATTGATGTATTCCCTGGCGTGCAACGTCGGACACAGATGTGAGACGTGAGTATACGCACACACCCAAGACTCCTCATATAAAGTACTGCGCATTTTGCCCCACCTACCTCTGCACCCTCGGAGCCGGATCAGCATAATGGGTCTGGAAGTTGCTCTCTCAAGCTCACGCCGTGGTACTACATTGTTGCGTCTCGTGTGGCTGCTACACAATGCTACGCGCAGTTGCGACCTAATGTGTCTGGAACTTGCCTTTTCAAGCTCACGCCGTAGTTCCACTTTGTTTATTCCCGCGCCGCTGCGACGCAATGCAATGCACACCTTCGGCCAACTGTGTCTGGGTTCTGTCCTCTCTTGCTCTTGCGTCGAGCTCACCGACTCCCGCGCCGAGCGGATCGCGGCCTGCCGCGCCGACCAGATTGCCCGCTGCCTCATCGGGGGCCCACGACCGGCGCGCGGAGGACGCCGCGGTCACGCTCGCGGGGCCCCTCCCTCCGACCTCCAGAAGGCAGCTCCTGGATTTCCTCGCTGACGAGGCCGACCAGTGGGAGGAACGGTGGGCGGGCCTCTTCGACGCTGGTGCGCCCGCGAATGACGGCGCTCCCAGACGGAACGGCCGGCCCCAGCGCATGGGCAGCGGCGTCGTGCCCCTCGACGAGGACGAGGACGACGAGCACCCGGCCGCTGCCCCCCGCGGCCGCGCCCACCTCCAGAGGGCCATCCTGGCCCGCCTCGACACGCAGGCGCGCCTGGAGCTTCGCGAGCGCCACGCCCAGGCCGGCAACAGCCCGCCGCTGCGCCGCCTGGAGGATCTCGGCCACCCTGACACCAACCACGAGTGGCTCTGGGCTCTGCGCCGGCACAACGGGCCCCTCCTCGACCAGCAGGACTTCGTCGAGGCGCTCCGACTACGCCTCGGCGCCGCCGGCCCCAGCGAACCCACGCCCTGCAACCTCTGCGGCACCGAGATGCTCGACTCCGCGGGCGCGCGCGCCCTCTGCTGCAGCAGGGCCGAGGCAACGAAGGGCCACCGCGCGCTGGCACGGCAGGTGTACGAGGCTGCCAAAACCTGCGACCCTGCCGCCGAGCTCGAGGCACAGAACCGCATCCCAGGCACCCGTCTGCGGCCTGCGGACGTGCTCACAGGGGCGCTGGGGCACGGGCTCACCGCGCTCGACGTCGGAATTGCCTCTCCCGACGCGCGCAATGCTGGCCCGGACTGCGTGGCCAGCATGTACGAGCGCAAGGTGGCTTCTTACGCCCCGCACAGCGACGTTCTGGACCGTCAGAACACCCTGTGTCAGCCCATCCTCCGCACACTCGCGACCCGCCTTTCCAGGCGGAGGGGATGCTCGGACGGGGCGCGGCGGCGCCGCCGCCTGGCAGGCGCGGCCGGCGTAGCGCTCTGGCGGCGGGCGGCCGCCCACGTCCGGGCGCGCTGGCCGGGCGGAGGCGCCGACGACTGAACGCATCCCTCCCGTCCCCCGCCCGCCCTGCACGGTCCGTGCCCCCCGTTCCGCCCTGCCCCTCCCCCTGCCTGCCTGCCTGCCTGCTTGTCGCTCTCCTTCCTCCCCTGGGCCCGGGGGCCGCGCGCAGGCGCTCTCCGGCGGCGGCGTTGTCGCCCGTTTTCCTCTTCCTCCTCCTCCTCCTCCCCGCCCCCCCCTTTCCTCGTTTTACTGCGTGGGCGCGCGCGCCTAACAGCGGGGCCGGGTGGCCCACGCCCCGCGGCCGCGCCCTCGCCCAGTGAGCTCTCGCCGCGCCTCGCGCGCAGCGGTCTTTTCCCTCCTCGCCCCCCCTCCTCCCCTCCTTTCTCCTCCCCTCCCTCGCCCGTCGCCCAAGTATGTCGGTGTGCTCGGGCCGAATTCGTGCATGGGGGGTCGTGGACTCCTGCTGCAGCCCTTCGACCGGGCCTCCTCTGGTCCGCCCGGCCGCTGGGGCGCCCAAAAGCCTCCGCTGGTCCGCTCTGGGCAACGGACGGGCTGCGTCCATCTGACATCGAGCCACGGCTGGACGTCGAAGGCCGAGGGCGGATGCATTGCAGTATTTCGCATGTTCCCTTTCTCCCCTCGCTCCCCCCTTCCTCCTCCTTCCTCCTTTCCCCCCTCAATTGCGGCTGCCTTTTCTGTGCCTGACTGGGGTGAGTCGGGTCCGCAGCCTCATATTTCCTTGTCTGTGTTCCTCCTGCTCTATTCCGCTTCTCTGCTCTCCCCGCGGCGGGAAAAGAACCACGTGTTGTTGGGAGAGTGTTCTCTTAAGCAGTGGCGGAAATTCGCCCGCGCACCGAGTCCGTGACATTTGTTTGTGCCTTTGCAGTCCTGGCTGGATTCGTCCGCCAGTGGCGCTGCAGGCAGCTGACGGCGAGTGGTTTCTGGCTGTCGAAGCACAGAGTAGCCATGTAGCAGCATGTTGTAGCATTGTGTGTAGCAGTCTCCCTCATCGACCAGCTCACCGACTCCCGCACCGACCAGATCGGGGCCTTCCGCGTCGACCCGCCTGCCAGCCCCTTCCTCGACCAGCTCACCGACTCCAGTGCCGACCAGCTCGCCGACTCCGATGCCGACCAGGCCACCGACTCCGGCATCGACCAGCCGATTCCCGCGCCAACCAGTTTGCGGCTTGCCGCGCCGCGCAGCTTGCCGGCTCCCTCCCCGACCAGCTCACCGTCTCCCGCTCCGACCAGATTGCGGGTATCTGGTATCGGCACCGCTGCACGTTGCGGTGGCCGCGGACGTCGTCCACCTGTTCACTGCACCCTGATCAAGATCTGACGTAGTAATCCTAGTGTCCTGCATGCCAGGGGCGGGCGCGGCAGTCTATGGGCAGCCGGAGCTGCTCGCCTCCCTTGGTTTTCCCTGCCTGTACCTCCGTTTTCCTTCTCCGCCTTGGCTGCCTACCCGCGGGCGTTCCCGCTCTGTCGCGTTCCACCCCTCCCTGGTAGGTTTCGGGCCGGCCTTGCGGTGGACATCCAGGCTCATCACATAGCGCGTTAATGCCTTCGCTCCTCCAGTCCTTCTAGTTCACTCGTGTGGGACCCTGTGCGAACACCGACTACAGCGCACGCACGAGTTCTTCCTCTTCTCCCCTCCTCGTCGCTTCGTTTTCCTTGCCCTTCTCCCCTCCTCTTCCTGTGCATGTTGCGTGTGTGTGTGTGTGTGTGTGCGTGTGTGTTGTTACACAGTACCATTACCTAGCTACTCGCTGCTCCCGCAGTCCCCTGCGCGCCGATGGTCATACCATGACCTCGCATTTGCTTTTGGTCGCTGCCCAGCGCCTTATTTAATCGCTTCGCTCATGCCGCCGGCCCTGGAGCCCTCTTTAGGGCCTCTTGGGGGCCTCTTGGGGACCTCTTGGGAGTCTCTTGGGGCTCCTTGGCGGCGTTTTGGAGGCCCCCAGGGCCTCTTGGGGGGCTCTTGGGGGTAGTCGATTGCGGCTCCCCCCTCGGAGGCCACGATCCTCGTGAGGGGTGTCGAAAAATACCCTCCCCTGGAGTGGTCTGGTGGCTTCTCCCGGGCTTCTCTCGGGACCTTGCCGGGGTACTTTTCGTCCGGGGGCCCCCAGGGGCCGCTCCGCGCGCGCGAACTAGAAATATTGTTAACAAGTTACCGGAGATCTTAGCACGCCTCTGGCCCGTTGGGCCGGCGAATTTCCGCGTGCGTTGTAGTGCGTCGCCAACGAGCGCGACACCTTGCGAGCACGCCTTATTCTGGTCAGCGGAGCGCCCAGACTCACAGGAGTCGGCTGGCGATGACTCACAGGGCTTTGCTCAGTGATCTCCTCTTTTCCTCGCCTCCTCCTCCCTCCTCCCCTCTCATGCCCGACTCCGGGGCTACTGCAGGTTTTTGCCATCATCTCTGCACTGCTGCTGGCTCTCTGGCACGGGGGTGATACGTTTTCTGGCGAATTCGTACATTATCTTATCTGCCTTGTCGTTTCCTGCGTCCGTTGCCACACTTTTGGTGCGGAAGAAATCGGGTTTCGAGTGCAACTGGCATTCGCGTTACGATGGTGGTTGTTGAATCTTGGGGTCCGCTCCCAGTTTCTCTTTCCAATATATATATATATATATATATATATTCTTGCATCATACGCACGCATGCGTACTCTCATGTCGTCCCCCTTTTCTCCTCATACGTACTGTGGAGGCGCTGGCCTGAGGCGTCAGTCAGCACGAGCACTCTTCAGAGCACCTGCTTGGTCAGCGGTGGCAAACGTCCCCGCGCGGTCGAACGAGAGCGGAGGGACTGCAGTTTGGCATCGCTCGGACGTGTGCAATTTTTCGGCTCGGACCATCGAGTAGTATTGCGAAGGCCTGACGGCCGGTGCCGCCGACCCTGTTCGCAATGCGCAGCAAGAGATTACGAGGTTGCTCAAGGTCGGCTTGGCTGGAGCCCAGGGGAAGAGGAGTCCCAGGGGGGGGCGTCGTATCTGACCCGGGGGGGGGTCGACACCCCCCCCCCCCTCCCGGCGGGGGAGGGATCAAAGGGAAGGGGCTTCCCTTCGACTCAATTACGAGGTTGCTCAAGGTCGGCTTGGCTGGAGCCCAGGGGAAGAGGAGTCCCAGGGGGGGGCGTCGTATCTGACCCGGGGGGGGGGTCGACACCCCCCCCCCCCTCCCGGCGGGGGAGGGATCAAAGGGAAGGGGCTTCCCTTCGACTCAATTACGAGGTTGCTCAAGGTCGGCTTGGCTGGAGCCCAGGGGAAGAGGAGTCCCAGGGGGGGGCGTCGTATCTGACCCGGGGGGGGGGTCCACTCCCCCCCCCCTCCCGGCGGGGGAGGGATCAAAGGGAAGGGGCTTCCCTTCGACTCAATTACGAGGTTGCTCAAGGTCGGCTTGGCTGGAGCCCAGGGGTTGCTCAAGGTCGGCTTGGCTGGAGCCCAGGGGAAGAGGAGTCCCAGGGGGGGGCGTCGTATCTGACCCGGGGGGGGGGTCGCTACCCCCCCCCCCCTCCCGGCGGGGGAGGGATCAAAGGGAAGGGGCTTCCCTTCGACTCAATTACGAGGTTGCTCAAGGTCGGCTTGGCTGGAGCCCAGGGGAAGAGGTCTCCCAGGGAAAGGGAAGGACAGAGACGACGAGTACAAAGAATGACGGAGATGACGGCTCGAACGGAAAAGCCCCTCACACACGCCGACAGGGTCGGCGGATTTTTGTTCACCGTGCAAAGCATGAACCTAGCGCGACCCCAATTAGGGGTCTTCTTTCTTGCACAACACATCAAGTCAGTTTTGAGCCATGCTGGAAAATGCAATTCACAGCACAGATTTGCGATGATTGGCATTGCTTGGCGGTGCGTTGCTTGTCTTGGCGTTGCTTGGCATTGTTTGGAACGGTTGCTTGGCATTGCTCGACAGCGCTTGGCATTGTTTGGTGTTGCTTGGTGTTGTTTGTTGTTGCTTGTGGTAGCGTGGCATTGTTTGACTTTGCTCGGTATTGCTTGACCTTCCTTGGCGCTTGGCATTGCTTTGCGTAGCATTGCTTTGCATTGGTTGGCATTTATTGGCATTGCTCGGCAATACTTGGCAGTGCGTGGTATTGCAACGTCTGGAGAAACCAACGAAAAAGAGCAGGGAACCCGAGAAAGGACGGGAAAGTACCAGACCGGGGAGCCGAGAAAGGACCGGGGAGCCAAACAAAGGAATTTGGGGAACCCGAGGAATTTCCGAGGAACGGGCAGCTTAAGAATACGAGGCACCGGGGGCGGGAAACCCGAGGAACGAGAAACCCCCCAGGAAGTTCCGAGGAACGGGCACAGGAAGAGTGCTCGGCACCAACCTTTCAAAAACCTTGTAAGAACCCTTTAGGCAAGCCTAATTGGGGAAACACACGCGTGGAACCGAAATATGCACATGGAATGGACGTCCGAGCGATGGCGAGGCAGGGCCAGGCGGCTGCCAGGAGCAGGGAGCGCTGGAGTGCTTCCGAGGGCGCGAACGGCGAGCAGCAGCAGTTCAAGGATGGAATGACCGCACATTGCTGGAAGGCGGCCAGGCATGCGTGCCCAGTTTCTCCTCGTCCTGTCTGGCTACCAGAGGATAGCGCGGGGATAAACCAACGTGGAGTGAAGAAAGGTAGACTTCAAGCACCGACCCAGGGACTCCGCACGGACCTCCGAAAGCTAATGTTTTTGCAGTGTCTCTTCCTGTACCCACGTACTCCCGTATATTGGTAGGAGTATGCAGTAACCCGTCTCCAGGGCCATGCCTCGCTAAACTGGGGGAGGAGGTTCTGTCGTGCCGCCTCCAATGTCTGGTTCTAAAAATTCCCCAATTTGAGCTGATTGTTTTGTGTTTGGAGCGGCTGGCCTACAGCAGGACCCCCACGCAGAGTAGAGTTTGGACTAGAACTACCCTCCCCTTCGCAGATCCTGACTGCCCACTTCGGCCAGATCCCGGCCTGAACCTCCGACTCCCCCTCCTCGAATTGCCGCGGCCTGACCCGAGCCTCGGCGACCCGGGGTCGCGGCACCCTGCAAGTTGGCCTCGAACGGCATGGACCCCACCCGAGGTTCGCTTTGCACGCTCGGAGGCCCGCCGAACAAGAAACAGACATTGTACCAGCATGCGCTGTCGGAGGGCTGGATCGAATTCTTGTGTCGGCGCTGGACCCCGCAGCGCGCCAGGGGCGGCGCCGAAGGCGCTGCCAGCGTGGGGGTTCACCGCCGAGTCAATGAATCCGCGCGGGCTCCGACACTTCGTGCTCCTGGTTTGTTTGTTGGTCAACCTTCGCCTGCCCCAGTCTGGTGGCTGCTGCTGCCGCTGACCCGCTGATATCGGCGAGGGCCTCCCGACGCGCCTGCGCGTGCGGCCGTAAGAGCCCGCCGAGAGGATGCTCGCCGCAGCGGTACCGGCGAGAAGGCTACGGAGTTCGTACCCGTGCTGCCAGACCACGCAGCCCCAGGTGCGGCGAAGGATTCTGGCTTGCGGCCCCGTTGCGTGCGCACGAGAGTCGGGCATCCCACTGTCGGAGTTGTGTGCCCAGATCTCCACTCGATCTCAGCTTTGGCCGTTTTCGGACCCTGGGTCCATTAGGAACGGATCCAGGACGACAAGTGAATGGTAGCTCGGAAAAAGGAACACGTGCCCCAACGGCGGTCTTGGGCCACTCAAACATGTACCCATTTTGGCTCCACTGCTTCTTCAAACTTGTAGGAATCTCGCCCCCAGGAAACATGTCAGGACCTGGAACCCGTGGATTGGCCAAGTCACGACATCGGATGTACGGTTCATTCTCCACGCTCGAAGGTTGCCCTCAAGTGCGAGGGGCGTGGAAAGAGGCGAGCCTCGGGCCCCATCAGCCGGTCGATGAATCGTGTCGCTAGGGTTTATCATGGGTGATCATGTCTTGCGAGACACAGTGGAATCCGCCTTGTGCTTTGTAGTATACCCTCCCACCCCCAGGGGATGGGCGTTTTTTGCAATGGCCTCGCAGCCTCATGATCGTCCGCATTGCCAAATGCAAATTCGTTCGCTTCTTTGTGGCCCAAACGGATATGGGAGAGGTTGTGGCCAGAAGATCCGATCTCCAAATCGTTTTTGACGTAGCTGTTGGAATCCATGTTTCGACTGTATGCGGGTGGAGAGGACGGGTTCCGATTGAGCTCTTCGATTGGAGTCGGAGGAAGAGCCAAAGCCCAGCCACATGCTCACATCTATTGCGAAGGCCTTACGGCCGGTGCCGCCGACCCTGAATGGCTACGACGACGACGACGAGCGTTCTTGGGGGCCTCTTGGGGGTAGTTTGTGGGCCTCTTGGGAAGCTCTTAGGGGCCGCTTGGAAGCCTCGTGGGGGCCTCTTGGGGCTTCCTGGGGGTCTCTGGGAGGGGGCCTGGGACGTCTTGGAGGCTTCTTGGACGGTCTTGGGGCTATCTTGGGCGTTTTCGGCCGATCTTTGGGCGACTCGGGGCCCTCTTGGGCCGTCTCGGAGGCCATCTTGGGCATTCGGACCTCATTTGGAGTGTTTTCGATGTTTCTAGGCCGCCCGAGGAAAAACGAATCTGCCCCCCCACCTCCCCCCCACCCTCCCCGGGACCCCCCCGGGACCCCCCCTGGGACCCCCCCGGGACCCCCCCCGGGACCCCACCCCCCCTGGGGAAGGGATCAAAGGGAAGGGGCTTCCCTTCGACTCGATTACGACACTGCTAGATTTTTCTCTCGCTCACGAGCTTGAGAAGGAAGCTGCAGGGAAAGGGGACGACGGAGGCGACGACCGACGGAGCCGACCCGACGACTCGAACAGCCAAGCCCCTCGCACACGCCGACAGGGTCGGCGGATTTTGTGTTGCAGCTGCGAAGGATCATTGGGGGCATCGCCGACAGCATGCCCAGACTCCGCCGTTTCCTCTTCGCGTTGTGTCTCGCGGCCCCCTTTCGCATTCACATTGCCGTGGCCCACATTTGTGCGAGCCACGAAGGACAGGGGGTCGTCCGCGTGGACATTCGCGCGCAAGCTGCCCGCGCTTGGTCGCACCCACGCGGTGCGCACGTGGGCGGCCTGCGCAAGCCCACCCCCGCAGGGCCGCCACGTCTTCGTGTGTAAGGCCCCCCTCCCCTTCACGTCCGACGATCATGCGACTTTTCCAGTCCGCTGGATCCAGAAGTCGGTCCCTCGTCACGGATCCATTTTTGTTGGTTGCCGGGCCCGAGCACAGGCCAGAACGAGTAACAGATCTCGGGTGCTGCCAGGGGTGGCCCGGGCCCCGTCGGTGCCCCAAGCCCTTCAGGGAGCTCCCGATGGCTTCCGTGGCGCCCCTCACGAGGCGCATGGAGCTCCAGGGGCCCTAAAATGGCTCGAACCGATGAGTGCCCTTTGGGACGGGATCATCTGTGGCGCGTGCGCGCGACGTCAGCAGGGACATACTCGCGGCATGGGGTCACGCAGGAGTGGGGGCGACTTGGAGGATGGTGAGGCAGAGGGAGGACGAAGAACGCGGGGGATGAGGGAGGGGCGGAGACGACGGCCACGACCACGACGACGACCACGACGACGACGACGACCACGACGACGACGACCTTGACGATGGCATTCGTGGTCCTCGTCTCTGACCGCGGGGGAGAGGGAGGACCAGGGAAAGGAAGAATGGGGGGAGGGACCGAGGACGATGTCGACGAGGAGACGGCCGCCGCCAGCATTCCTCCTCTGCCTCGCCACTCACTCGGGCGGCCTTCGCCTTCTCGGAACGCATTTTTGAAGGTCCTCGAGAGGTCGCGTGGACGCCTTCTGCGGAACGCATCCTTGAGATCGCGCTTCGGAATCCAGACCGCGAGAGCGTGGCTCGCCGCTTGGCAGCCTTCTGCGGGCCGCCCTCTCGCCCTCTTCGACCCTCCCCGCCGTGCTCAGAAGAGCAAAGGGCGTTACAGCCATACATCATCGGTGGTCAGCGCAGAAGTCTTGGGTCGGTGCTGGGCCCACCCCTGGCCCGCCTGTGCGCGCGCCAACCCGAGACATTTGTGCGGGCCTCCTCCGAAAGCTCTCGTGTTCCTTCAGTTCTTGTCCTGTCCTGCTTTGCAAGACATAAGCAGGCGTCCGAAGCCCCCTGAACGCCTCCGAGAGCCTCCGAAGGCCTCCCAGGGCCGCCTTCGGTCCGATTCGACGCGGTTCATTCGATTCACCAGCTGGGGCCGCGAGTTCAATTCGACTCGGCCTGGCTCCGTGCACTGGCAGTTGGGGCCAGCCAGAGGCAGGCGCGGCAATCCGACTTCGATTCGATTCGGGACGATTCGTTGGCGACCCGGTCCATTGCCGACCCGATCTGGTCTCGAGGTCCGGCCCGGCTCAGGCCTGCCTCCTCGGCCATTGCGGTGCCCGCGAGCGCAGGAGCCCATCGGCGCCGCCGATCTGCGCGAGCTGCGGGGCGAGCTGGCGTCCGGCATGGGCGCCTGCATCGGCGAGGTCAGCGGCGAGCTGCGCAAGGCGCGCGCGCACGCATCCCGTGCGGCGGGCGGGCCGGAGCGGAAGAGGGCGGCGAGGGTCCTCCAAGGAGGATCTTCGGAGGAGGGCGGCGAGGATCCTCAGAGGAGACCGCTGCCCCTGCCTCGGTTTCGCAGTCCCTGGCCCTCCTGAGGGGTCCCGTCGTCGTCACGGCTGGCTTCGCCGCGGGATCCTGGCCCGAGCGCGCCCCAGGAGGTCCAGGGAGTCGCGGTGTATAGCGGTCGCTCCTGGTCCCCGCAGAGCCCGGAGGGCCGAGGCGGGGGCAAACAAGGGCGAGAGGGCGGAGACCGACAGCCGATCCGTCTTCGCTCTGGGCAGGGCTCGCCATAGGTCTCGACTGTGAGCGCTGTCCGCTTGTGGCGGGGGGCGCTTGCGCAGCAGCGGTCGCAGTCGGCTCACGGCATAATTGCAAATATAGACTTTCGGCAGCGCGTGTGTGGCCGAACGTGGCGTCCAGAGATTGGCCAAACTATCGTATCGTGTGTTCCGCCGTTGTGGAAACGCTTCGGGGAGCTCGTGGGGCAGAACGAAGAAGAGGAGGAGAGGGATGAAAAAAGGCAGAGGAGGCCTCTTGGGGCACTCTTAGGGCGTCCTGGGAGCTTCCTGCGGGCCTCTTGGAGGCCTCTTCGGCCGTTAGGGGGCCATCTGTGACACCTCTTGTGCGCTCTTGGGGCCATCTTGGTGGCCTCTTGGGCTGTCTAGTCTTGGACGGTCGGAAAGCGCACACACACAACAATCTGCAAACGCCAGAATCTGTCAAACGTTAGGGAGCATGAGTGATGTTTGCATCTTCGGGCCTTTCTGGGAGTTCTCTTGGAGGCCTCTTGGGCCGTCTTGGGGACCTCTTGGGCGATCTTGAGGCCATCTTGGGCCAATTTGGGGCATCTCGGCCCGTCTTGAGACACCTTGGGGTCATCTTGGACCCTCTCTGGGCCGTCGTAGCTGTCTTGGAGGCCATTATGGTTGTCTTGGAACCAATCTTAGGGCCGTCTGGAGCGGTTGGTGGGTCTCTTCGGCAGACTTGGTGAGTTTTAGGTCTCCAGGTGGCCAGCGGGCTGGGCCGAGACCCCATTGGCCATTGCATTTTTTATTGTTTGAAAGGACAAACAAGCTACCTGAAAACCAGCGCCCCGTGCACCCTTGCAGCAAGCCGCAGGGGGCTGCGGATAATGGAAAGCGCGCGTAGCGTCGCGATCCGTTAGGTCAGAGAACAAAAACAAGAGGGAGTTCGAGGAGGGTGTCGTTCTCGGCGGCCCCAGATGACGGAAAGCGCGCGTAGCGTGCGATCCGGTAGGCGGGAGAAATTAATTTAGGGGGAGTTCGAGGGGGGCGGCAGCCGGGGCCTCAGACCTAATGGCAAAAGTTTCCTCCCCAGAGGCCACCAGTGGCTTCAAGATAGCCCAAGACGGTCCAAGAAGGCCTCCAAGATTGCTCCAGGGGGAGTCAGGGGCCTCCAATTTCGCCCAAGATGCCTCCGAGTCAGCCCAAGAGGCCTCCAAGACGATCCAAGAGGCCTCCAAGACGCCCCAAGAGACCTCCCAGATGGCCCAAAGATGCAAACATCATACATGTTTCAATGGGTTTCGAAGGTTTTCGGGGTTGTCGCCTTTTCGTCTTTCCGACGCTCCAAGACAGCCCAAGAGGCCGCCAAGATCGCCCCAAGACGGCCCAAGAGGCCCCCAATACGGCCCCAGGAGGGCCCAATACTGCCCCAAGAGGCCTCCAAGACGGCCCAAGAGGCCCGCAAGGCGGCTCCAGAAGGGGCCCAGACGGGGTACCCGAACGGACTTTTCGGGCCATCGGCCCCAAGACGCCCCCAGGAGGACCCAAGAGGCCCCCAAGAGGCCCCAAGCGGCCCCCAAGAGTCCCAAAGAGGCATCCAAGAGGCTTCAAAACAGCCACCAGGAGGCGTTGAAACGGCTCCTAGAGTTCAAACACGGAGACTTTGAAAGATTCCCGCCAGCAGGGACATGCACATAGTACGGTCTGAGCCTGGCTTGCGGCCCTCGAGTTTCTGTAGTGGTCGGCGGGTTGACCGTCGTTTGGTAGCGTGCGTATTGACGCCTCCGGTGGCTTCATGGTAGGTGGAGCGCGTCGCCGTTGTGCAAGGCCTGGTACGTAAAACATTGTGCGAGCAATTGGTCGCACTCATGCGGGATTCGGGCGGTCGCACCCGTCAGCGACTGCTCTGGCTCAAGATGGCTCAAGAGCTGGCTCAAGAGGCGTCCCAGAGATCGCTCGGTCGGCCATCTACCCTTCCCCAGTTGCACTCCCGACCTTCCCTCTGCCATGGCGCCGTGCCAGGTTTGCCTCCGCCATGGGGTGCAGGGCGAGGCGCTGCCGGGCTTGGCTTTCTGCGCCGCACATGGTGGCGCCTCCGGCGACGACGACGCGACGGGCCTCACCCAGGCTGCTGCGAACCTTGCCGTGCAACCCCCTCCTGGACTACCAGGCCACGGCCCTCTTCCGGACGCATGGCTCGCGGAATTCATGGATGATGAAATGGCGCAGCATTTAGGGCTGGTGCAGGCCGCCAACATGACGCTGCCGCAGGACCTGCAGAATCTCCCCATCAAGATTCCCTCCACCTGGGAGGCCCTCCGCGCCATTCTGCTGAAACTAGCCTACAACCCCGTCTCCGCCAACCCATGGAATGTCTTGGGTTTCGGCCCACTCGACGGCCCCGCGCCTACCGAGCAGGGCATCGCAAGTCGCACGCGGACGGCTACCATCCTGTGCTCCCTCGGTCAGGCTGCCGATTGGGACCCGGCTGGGAGAGCGAGCGCGGAGGCGGCCGCTGCTCACTTCGCGACCGCTGGCGCGCGGTGCGCGGAGCAGTTGGACGAGGTTTTGCGCGAGCGTCGCCGTCTCCGTCCCTCCGAGCTCCCACGATGGAAAGAGTTGGGAGCGTCTGCGCTACAGGCAGCCCGCGCCATCCCAACATGCGCAGACGCCACCTTAGCCACGCAGTGGTCCCAGCTCCTCAGCAACACTACCACGGACCATTCGGTCATACTGGAGCAGCACCGTGAATTGGCCACACTCTTGGAGAAGGGCGACACGCGGGCCCTGGAGAAGATGGGGGGGCAACAGATCTTGGCTTGGGCACCGGTGGACACCAATGCGCTCCAGAGGATCCTTGCCGGTCTACTCCGACAGCCCGATCCAGCACTTCGCCCTCAGCGACTTTCGCTTCTGGTTCCGATCCCCCATTTTCCTGGTGTCGACTCTCCGGCCAAGCTTTTCGACCTCTGGTGGCACCCGCTCCTCGGCGAGAAGCCGCTGTACATCTCGTTGGTCCGTGCCGTGGATATCATCCTGCAGCCTGTGGAGTACATCCTCCCAGGAAGGTCCGCTCCCCGGCATGTACGGCAGGGCCTCGCGAGCTTCACCATCACCACGGCAGGACACCGATCGTCACCGACCGTCTTCTCCCCCTTGGCCCCGCTGCTCCAGCTCCCCGCGGTGAACTCTTTTTGGGTCGACGTCCCGACTCAGCTCTTCCCGAACTTCATGATCAAGATGCTCAGCCCCGAGGTCACCAACCATGGTGTTTCTTTCCTCTGCCGGCATACCTCCAGAAGTTGGGGCAGCACTCCGGAGGTCCCGCGCGTGTGCGTGGAGATCATTCTACCGAGCTCTCTTTCCGAGGCGGGTTCCATGCTCGCCATGCGCTTCCTGCGGAGGACCGTGCTGACTGAGCAGATGTACCTTGGGCACAAGGAGCTGTACACGTCTCCAGACGCCCTCGTGGTGGAGTGCAACAGCCCGCTGGGACTGGTCCGTGCGTGGCCGTTGTGCTCACAAGCGATCTTCCTCTCATCCGACAGGGTGCTCGTCTTCACGTCGGCCTCCGTGGAGTCGTGGACCGCGTTGCTCGACAGGGGCCTCCAGGAGGATGAGAACCACGCGATCACGAACATTAAGCACAAGGCCAGCAGCTATGGCGGCCGTCCCTGGGCATTTCCATCCGCTACTGCTCTCGCCCTCGCTGCCTCCCGTCGCCAGCGGGGGCGCGGCGGTCGCAGCTCCACCATGTGTGACAACATCGCGGAGATCACCGTCGCCGGGGAAACCGGGGACAACGGAAGCGTGGTCATCAATCAGCTCCTGTCTCACGTCTGTGCTGCCGCGGGCCTGGCGCTCTCCGCGGCCCCCCCAGGTCAGGTGCCACGGCCAGGACAGTGGGTCCATCTTGCTTCTCGGGACGCTAGCGCTCATCCTGGCCGCGCACGCGTGTGCCTACACTCACAGGAAGATGTCCAGCAGGTGTATCGCTCGTTGCATGGTCAGGTGCTCCAGGTCGGCGTGGACTTCTTGGCCATCAGGGTGTCCAGCGACGTCCAGGACTCTCGCACCCTGCCGGGAAACAGGCGGCGGGGGGGGGCAGGGGGCTGCCTCCCCCGCCGCCGCATGACCTCCCCAGCGCCTTCGACGAGCTATGGAATTCAGACTTTTGATTGCAAGGGTACCTCATGTTGGCTCGTGGACGTCGCCTTCGAGCTCCAACCGGCTAGTGCCGGCCCGGGCTCCCAGCGCCGCGCTCCCTACAGCATGAGTGGGCATATCACGTCGTCTTGTTCTTCGTCACCTTCTTCTCAACGTTCTCGGCGTACATCTACTCAGCTACCTGCACTTGCACTTCTTCATCTTTTTCATCATGTTTCTACCTCTATGGATCAGCTGCCCGACGACTCCATGACGGACGTTCCGGTCCAGATTCGGCTTCAGAACGCATTTCGGCGCGCGCTGCGCCCCAGTGCGCTCCCTGCAGCGCTGCCTCCACGCACTCGCGCACCCAGAGGTCAGCCTTCGCTCGCCCACAGCCCGTACCTCGGCGATGTCTCCGTCATCACATGGAACACCCAGGCCCTCTTCGCCGCGGACCCCGGCCGTCATCGCCGGAAGGCGACCTACGTGAGGAAGTTGATGGCCACCCACGATATCGGCCTCTGGACCGAGACGCACGGGTCCAATGGAGG